GATTATATTTTAGGGTTTTAGGTTTCCAATTCGATTTAGGGTTTTAAAAGTTTCGGCCATGGCTAAGTGTTTTCGATTTTTGCGATTTAGGTTTAGGTAATAAACTTCTCTAACAACTTAGGCGAGTTTGATTTAAGCAATAACAAACTTTCTATCAACCTAAACAAGTTAGACAATCGGTCCATACAAGCAAGCAACAATCGCTTTCAATCAATGATCCGTTTTTAAGTTTCCACCGTTCGTTAGGTTCAAGTTCATGATCGGTTCTTTAGCTTTTATGGTTTTGATTTTACCTTTCACCTTTGGGGTTGTATGGACTAGAACCGGGAGCTAAAGACCTCAGTTATCAACTTGTCACGAGCGTATGGTCCGTGGAAGGAATCGCGAGCAAAGGAGAAAGCCAACGGACGGATGAGCTAGGGTTTTCAAAACAAATCGGCGCACACTGTATCTGTGCGTGAAGGCGCGTTGGTGGTCAGATCGACAAGCCGTTTATACTTATGGATTCGTATCGGCGAGGGCTTCGATTTGATATCTTGCTCGTTTTCTAGGTCCTCACGATTTGAGAGAACGACCTCTTTGAAGTTCCGAGGTAGATTTCTTTGCGTTTTAGGGGTTTGATGGAGATAGAGAGATCGTGAGATTAGGGTTTATGTGTCATATCTTTAGCTAAGGGATTTAGAGGCTATCGTGCTGATAACGTGTTATGAATCTCGTGTATCCCCTTATTATTAAAACGGAAGTTCATTATAAAATAAACCTTATTAAGTGTAAACAATTACATCCTAATGCCATTGAAAAAAATAAATCACAAACAAATTAACTTTTATGCTTAAGATTAAATAAGTCATTAAAAATTTGGGTATATCATATATGGGTGAAAAAAAAAAATCGGATCCACATATTGTGGATTTCAAATATATTCACCCCTAAATTTTTGCAAATCTACTATACATTTTTGCAGCAGTTTTTGGGGTACCCAAATCGGGTCAAATTTGTTTAATTTTGACCCGGAAATCTTCAATCGGATCTTTCCTTAAATTTTGGCAAAATTAAAAAACGAAAATAATTAATAAAATCTAAAATATATATACTTTCTCAACTAATTACTATATTTAAACGCTTTATTTATGGTATATTCTCCACGATTTTTATAGATAAAGAAATCAAATATGATGATTTAATGCTAATATAACAAATTTGCACTAATTTCCTAAAACCTCTCTACCTAATTTAAACATAAATATATGATTCTTATTTCACTTTTATTTGATCTTATATTTATATTATTTTAAATTATTATAAAATATATAAATAGTTAGTAAATTTTAGTTTTTTTTTTTCTGCATATGTTACAATTCAAATTTTTTAAAACGGACATATATTACTCAATCGATGAATAAAAATATGTGTGTAATCTATATTAACATTTTTAAGAACAAATTGAGCATTTAATCATGTCGTTATTTTATTCAGACCCGAAATTGAGTCATTCGGATCTTTCTTTAATTTTTACAATTATCTAAAATGGGACAGTATATCACGGGTGAAATCCTAATTAGTATTTTAAGATACAATTATAAATTGTTTTTACGGGTTGGTCCAAAAACACACACTAATTTAAAAATATACATGGAAACTATTTGAAAGCAACTTTCAAATTAACTCGAATTATATGACATTTAAATAAAAGTGTTATTAAAAAAATAACAAAATGATGTTTAATTCCATTTTAGATTATATAGTTGGACGGGTTTGGGTCAATATTAATACGAGACAATATACCACATGTGAAATCCTATAAATAACAAATCAAAATACAATTATACAATCTTAAACACTAAACAAAACAAATACAACTTAAAATTTTTTATTTTAGATACAACGCATGTGACCCGCGGTATACAACAAAAAATATTATACACAATAAATTCATCAATTTATAAAAATAAAAAAATCATACTAGTATCCTAGTCTATTAGCAAACTATATCTAATCTATTATCCAAAACAATTATAGTATATATCCTCTAAATTCTATCACGGGTTAAAAAATTATAGTATAACAAAAATCTATACTAGTATTTTTGCAACACTTTGGTGACGGGTGGGTAAAAATGCTTCCGGGTATATCGGATATCCGATCCGTTTTTAAAATTCCTTCACAAAAAATTTGTTGGGTCGGATTATATTTAACCCAACTCATACACCGGATATTCCATATTTAATAATTTAGATATTTAGAAGATTTGATTAAGATTTATAATTATGATTCTCCTATCATCTTTGTTTGATTTGTTTTTAACTGTTTTGAATCATAATATAATACATAAAGTAAAAAAAAAAAAATCAATTTTTTTTCTGCATATACTGTGATTCGAAATTTAAAAAACGGACATATATTATCCAATTGACGAAAATGTGTGTTCAACGTTTTACATCGATTAAAATATTTAGAGAATGATTCAGAATCATATCATAAATAAGAATATTTATAAAATAAATGAGTTTTTTGGCGGGACGGATTTGGCGGGATGGGTTTTTGAATCAACAATAATAAAAAGATTAAAATATCATTAATCCGCCGCTTCAATACAGATTAAATCCTTTTTTTTAATACCACAAATATTAGACACATTAAATCAGTCTCATTTAGAAAAGATTGTATAAAACCAAAAATTGTCCCGTGGGATAATGTTACTTAATAACAATATTTATAAAATTTTAAAAGATCATTAACATACCGCTTTAATACATATTAAATCTTTAGTTTATTAAAATATAAATGTCTTAGAGAATGATATGATTTGTAAAGTTTTATATATAATAAGTAATCATTAAATTTTAAAATAAAAACAAATCACGGGACGGGTTAAGAAATTATGAAACGGGTTATATTTTGGAAGGGATTTATATGGCAGACGAATTTGAATCAATATTTATATACCGCTTTAATACGGGTTAAATCTTCAGTTTATTAATAATTGTCTCGTGGACTCGTGGTATACGTTACTTAATAACAATTGTAAACTATAATATAAATAAATATGTTATAAAGAGATACAATTTACAAAATATTTTTATACTAACTTTCAAATTAAATCATCCCGCGGTGTACCGCGGGTTAAAATCTAGTATATATATATATTTTTTCTGCATATGATATGATTTGAATTTTTAAAAACGAATATAAATAGTTCAATCAATAAATATAAAATCAAAACAGGTCAGTTATGACTGAGTAATATATTTTATTAAACAAAAATATATCCAACAAAATTTCCGACTAAGTAACGGGCCAAAATTTAAATATTTATATTCATTTTCGTATATTTTTTTGTCGAATACACAATTTTATATCATAAAATAAAATTTTAAAATATATTAATTTGGAATATTTAAAAATATTTTAACTTTGATATTCTTTAAAAATGTCATCCCTACTATTAATTGAGAAGTTCATTACATATTATAACATGTTTTTGTAAGAAATTACATCAAATGTCATTGGTTTTAAGAACAAATTATAATTTCTCATTAAGGGTATAACTGTAATTTGATTCGAAGAATTAATTTTTTTTTAAAACGAATTAATTGAATTAAATTTTTTTTTTTTTTTTTTGGTATGAAGAGGGAGACAAGTCTCCCATACTTTATTAAAGAAAAAATAGAAAATTACAATCGGACATGTCTAGATCGCGTAGATCCATTCACATCGTCGAACCAAATAGAACGAACATCATCCGGTATTGAAGCAAAAGCATGAAATCCCAAAGGTAAAGAGAATGCATAGTTTGCTAATCCATCCGCTAGACGATTAGCCTCCCTATACACATGAGAAATACGGACTAGCCAGTCCCTCGATATGAAGCCATAGCACAAACGTACTAGGAACGACAACGGATGAGAATCACTAATCCCCGTCGTCAAAAAACCCACCACTATCTCCGAGTCCACCTCCAACTCTAACCGTGTAACCCGACGCTCCCATGCTATGTAAAGTCCGTAATAAACTCCCCATAATTGTTTTTATGGTGACTAATTAGTTTTTATAATTTTAATATTTAAATAGATTTTCTAAAAAATATCTACTTACAAGTGATCAAATAATCGAAAATCTTACTAATATAGAAAACAGAAAATTTAATTACTGGTGATCAAAATATCATCAATTTATCAATCTATTGAAATTCAAAAACAGAATATATAATATAATTTTTTAATTAACTAAATCGCTTTTACTGTTATTTCTTAGAGTAACAAATTAATATCTCTACAATAATTATTTGAGAAGTAGAAACGCACCACATTCAAAGTTAGGGCATTGGAGGCCTGTGGTTAAAAGTTGGAATGATTTGTCCTAAACACCCTTAATGAATTGTTCTTCTCGAAATTTCTTCTTCTTCGTAATTAGGGGTATATAAGTCTAATCGTGTGTTGATCTCTATAATAATGTCTCAAACACCCTCAATTTCGAAATTTTTTGTTCTTAATTGTTAAGGGTATATAAGTCTAATCGTGTTTTGAGATGATTAGTCTTAATCACCCTTAAATTTTTTTATTTTATAGTGTAATCGTTGGGGATACGGATGTCATAATGTCTCGACTTTAATGATTATGGAATCTTAACTTAAATTTATTTGTTAATTTTTTAGATAATTCTATATCTTAGTAGTTAATATTCGTTTTTGTTAGTTTTCTGATTTTGTTTCTAATTAAAAAGTTAAATTTCTTAAGATAATAATTGATGTTTGCCCTAATCTTAAAGCTATATATATTGTTGATCGGCCAGAGAATTAGGTATTATTTTCTCTGTGCCCATTAGATAGTTTTCACCATTATGGTTTTTTATACAGCTACGATTTTGATAAATCAAATTGTTTGTCATGCATATATTGTTTTCATTTACCTTTAGAGGTCGTGTGCATATTGTTTGCTGTTTGTTTTATTTTTTACATTAGTTTGTTAATTTATTGTTTTGCTGATTTGATTCTTTTGGTATGTGTTTCAGTTTTGTAGAGCGTGGGAGGTTCTATCGACAAAGCTTTTGGACGAAAGTGGTGTTGATGATAACAGAACGAGGTTTGGAAAGGTATTTTTACATCTATTTACCTATTTAAATGTTTGTGTTTCTTTCTGTTATGTACAGAGTTTGGATTATGATCACGCGTGGATCGTTAATAATTTATGATCAATTGTGCTGACTGAGAGAAACTAAGATTTTTTTTTTTGGTTCTCACCGTTTTTCTAAGTTCGCTTTGAGATATTATATATTTATTTTGTATGAGTAATTTTATTGGAAAAAATGATGTTTAGGGATAGTGTACACGTACTCGACGGGGGTGAATTACACCTAAGCTTAGATGTCTTCAAAAGGCCATCACTCACAACAACATCCTCTTCACCTCAATGGCTTCACGTAAGTGGATTCAAAATAATTTCTCTATATAATATATCAAGTTAAGTGAATGAACATATATAATGTAATGTTGTTGAAAATTGTGGTTGCAAGATATGTTGTGTTCGGGACTAAGAAGCATGGGAACGGGAAGATTGATGAACTAGAGAGGCATATTGAGTCTTTGATATGGGAAACTGTTAAGGAAAGAGAAAGGGAATGTGTGGGATTAGATGACTACGAGAAGGTAATCTCTAATCTAACTGTATATATTTGTATTTTATTATGAATTATTTATATGATTTTCTTTTTGTTTTTTTGAAACTAACATTAATTAATTTACTTTCTAAAATATACTGGGTCTCTTTTGAAGCTCGAGAAAAACAGAGTTCTCTAAAACGAGATCGGTCGAGATTGCATAGGTATGTCTATCGTGATGAAATTGTTAAATAGATATTGGGCTTTTAAGCAATTCAATCGCTTTAAAAAAATTTTGTAATCGTGAGAGTAAACTTTAGGGTTTGATTGTTTCAATTTTGATTTAGAATACGGAATTTTTGTTTTCTGTTTCTTTTTTTAAATAGTAAGGTAAATTCTAAATATATTACGGATATTTTTATCAAGAAAATTTCTAATTTTTAAAAATTAAAATTTAAGAAATAATTATGACGGTTTGCCCTAGATATTAAGGTATAAATATAGAGCTTCGGCCACACCATTAAAACTCATATTCTTTAACCTAAACATATAGTTTTGATAATATATATATTTTGTATTGTTTTGGTTCTAATGAATCGAATTTACTATGGAATGATTATGATTGTTTTCTTCATGTTGAGATGACACTGATTTCATGATTTAATTTTTTATAGATTCTGATTTCTTCAAATTGAAATATTAATTATTTTTACGTTTGTTTGCAGGTTGGATGTGTGGAAAGAACACATCGATGTTGAAAACGTTGGAATGCAAGCTAACACAGCCAAGATATTGGTCATGCAAAGATCTCTTATGATTCTGTGACTAAGAATTTAATTGTGACTTGGGCTTATGAGCTAATTAACAACCTCTGATCCTAAGGAGAGTTCAAGCCTTTCTTACATCATCGACCTCGCAAACCATCAGAAGTAATGTTCGGGTTTATAGCTGCTGCTGGAAGAAACACAGAGGAACATAGACTTTTATCATGGGAGCTCAGTTCAACTTTGGATATCGAGAAAGCCGATAGCAAGATAGGATTGGTAGTTGGCATTTCGGTTTCCGGGTTTTTTTTACTGATAGTTTTGGTCCACACGATCGTGGTGGTTTGGTCACGGAAGCAAAGAAAAAAGAAAGACAGAGATATAGCAAACATGATATCGATAAACGAAGATCTTGAAAGGGAAGCAGGACCAAGAAAGTTTTCTTATAAAGATCTTGTGTGAGCAACCAACAGATTCTCAAGCCATAGAGAGCTAGGTGAAGGAGGATTTGGAGCGGTTTATGAAGGAAATTTGAAAGAAATCAATACAATGGTTGCGGTGAAGAAATTATCCGGTGATTCAAGGCAGCGAAAGAAAGAGTTTTAAATGAAGTTAAGATCATCAGCAAACTGAGACATCGAAACATGGTGCAACTCATTGGTTGGTGTAATGAAAAAAACGAGTTCTTGCTGATATATGAGTTAGTGCTAAATGGTAGCTTGAACTCCCACCTCTTTGGCAAAAGACCCCATTTACTTTCTTGGGACATAAGGTACAAGATAGCTCTTGGTTTAGCCTCTGCTCTGCTTTATCTTCATGAAGAATGGGATCAATGTGTACTGCACAGAGAAATCAAAGCAAGCAATATAATGCTTGACAGTGATTTCAATGTAAAGTTAGGTGATTTCGGTTTGGCTCGGGTTATGAACCATGAACATGGTTCCCATACAACAGGATTGGCTGGAACTTTTGGGTACATGGCACATGAATATGTAACGAAAGGAAGTGCGAGTAAAGAGTCTGATATATATAGCTTTGGAATTGTTTTACTAGAGATTGTCACAGGGAGAAAATCGCTGGAACGAACGCAAGAAGATAACAGTGATTCAGAGAGTAATGAGAAGAGTCTTGTGGAGAAAGTTTGGAAACTTTATGGAAAACAAGAAGTGATGACTTCGTCTGTTGATGAGAAATAGGGTAATGAATTCGATAATAAAGAAGCTGAGTGTCTTCTGGTTTTAGGGTTGTGGTGTGCTCATCCTGATAAAAAAGCTCGAGACCTTCGATAAAACAAGCGATACAAGTCTTGAATTTTGAGTTACCATTACCTGATCTTCCATTGAAGAGGGATGTTGCTATGTATTACATCTCAATAACTACGACTTCTTCTTCTTCTCCCTAGGTTAACTCAAATGGAGTTTCGGTATGTATTACATCTCAACTCTGCTCTGTTTTTTTCTTCATCTTAAAGTATTATTGGTCATGCTCTTGGAAAATGATTATTCTTTGCATAATCATACTTAATATCATTTGTACATTGTTATTAATACTACTTTGTATGTATTAGAGATGAGAATATTTTAAACATTCCAGTGTTTTCCTTCTTTTAAGTTTTATATATATATATATAGATAGGTAATACTCGATCTTTTATGAACCGGTGGATAGGTAATATTCGATCTTTTATATATAATTTGTTTTCATTATGGATTTATAATTTAGATTAAGGTTCCAATGTTTCCACGTTTTAGAGTTTGTAAACGTGGTATTTCTCTTTTTTTAGTCAAGCATAAATTCTCCAAAAATATTAGGGTTTGTTTGATCATTTTTCTCTATGAGCGGCTATCCAAGACGAGTTCAAAGTTGAGATTGTAGAGGTATCATTGTTTTTTATTAGTGGTTGTGTTTTCATATTGGTGTATTTCTACTTTTACATTGATTTCTCTGGTTGTGAATGATCAGTTGATTAAGTTGTTTGATATTTGAGATTTTGGTTCTTTTTTTTTTGTTTAAATAATTTGTGATTTCGTATATTTAAAATAATATTTTCATTTTGTCTTTCATATTTATGATTCTGTTACATCCAGGGATGGGTTCATACGAAAAATATAGATATTTTATTTAGGATATTTGCTTTCTTGAAACAAAAAGTTGAGTGAATTGTTTTTAGGTTACGCAATTTTTATTAGGTTTAAAATATTTTGAGATTGCTTTTGATCGTGCAATATACGGATTCGTTAGTGCCAGATTAATTTATTGAAAAGTTGTTCCTCCTTCTTTTTCTTTATTTTAAAAATACCCTAAGAGATCTAATATCGTATGCATCAATTAAGTATCTTCTTTTACATTATCGGTGGATCCATTATTTTTTTATATTTATGGATAGTAAGAGATCTCACCGAACTTGATGCAGCTGCAACTACGTTACAACGGTGTACAAGAGTTACATGACCAGAAGGAATTTTGCAGATTGTGCCATCGTTGTTGAGGAGCTCTGGTGAGTTACTTGATCCATCTTCTTCTTTTTAATTTCTTTTAAAGATGATTAGACTAACCCTAATTGGTATTGCTTGAAATGTTGTAGGTGGAAGACTCTAGAGGGTGATGCTCTGGATTTGAGCTATGTTCTTTTTTTATATAAGAAGAGAAACATGAGGCGATGTTTCGAAATGGGCGCGAGCTAGAAAACGAGGTGCTAACGTCTGACATCATTTTATCTCTGTTTACTTATAACTCAAGGTGTTGTTAGTATATCTATATCTCTCTTTATTATGAAAAACCAACGTGAATCTCACTCTTTAGGTTGGGAAAGGCTTATCTAAAGATGAAAAGACTCAAAAATTAGCTCTTTAGCATTGGCTTGAAGTTGTAAGTCCCCATATCTTTTTGTAACTTTTTATCAAAGACAAGCTAAGTACATGTGAAGAAACAAATCTATGTGTTTAGTAGCAAAACACAAGATCAAGAGTTATTAGTTCCTTTTGGTTTCGTTGATCTATTATAATCTAATGACCATCTAATATAATGACCCCTCTCTTGAAATTACAGATTGACCCACATCATCGTTATGGCCACAACTTGCACTTCTATTATGATGTCTGGTCAGCGAGCAAGAGCTCACATCCATTCTTTTACCGGTACGGACTTAGATCCAATATCCATCTTTAGATCATCCTATCTTGAATGTGTTCTAAACTCTGTTTTCAATGATTTGAAACTAAATGTTGGATATAGGAGACGGCAAAGATGTAAATCTTGAGAAACACCCGAGCAAGAGCTCACATCCATTCTTTTTATCTGATTTGACTCGACCATAATGATTAGCTATAACTCTTGAATACTCAATAACCTCTGTGTTTCTTTGAAACACGCAGATGGAGAGAGAAGCATATAAAATAATTGTGGAAGATGGGAGACTAATTTATAAATAGGGCGTGACTCTGATTAACTCAACAGAGGAAGCCAAGTCGATTTTTGTACTTAGTAAAATAAACAATTTGAATAAAAGACGACGGCAGAAGCTCGAGACGAGTCGTTTCAGCCGTCACCAGAGACTAATGAAAGTCATGCTGAAGTGAAAGAAACACACTACATAAGATATATATATATTTCAAATTATTTAATTTTTAAAAGAATAATTAAAGCTGCCATTTATCTCTATCGTGATTGAAAATATTTAAAACTTTAACAAATCTTTATGAAAAGAAAATAATATAAGTTGACTTTCCGAAACTTTGATATGTCAAAAAGGTAATCTTATTACTTTGTGTTCAAGGCAACAATATATATAAGTATTAATTTTTTGGATTTTCCGGTTTACTTGAGAGTCACGTTTCTGATATCACTTTTGCTTTGTCTTTGTGTTATCATCAACCGGAATCAGCCATGGTGAATTATATAGTGAAGCAATACAATGTTGCAATGGAAGGAGATACGACATTGGTCGCAGTGGAGAGCATTGGTATACGGAATAGAAAATGAGTCAAGATCATTAGTGATTCAAAATTGGTCAATTAAATTCCGATATATAATGGTTGGTCCATCATGTATATTTTATTTTAAAATTAATATTAAAATTATTTGATAACTGTTGACAAAAAAACTACAATATAGTTAAGTTACTTTAGAAAAAAACCTTCATCCTGCAGAAGATACAAAATTTTATTATTAATTTCTAACTGAAATTGAAAACCTGGTCCAACCGGTTTAACTTGATCAACATGATAACAAAACAAGAGGAGCAAAGTTGATGGTTTTCTGAAGTCTGATGAAAGAGATCTTGATAAACGTAGAAATCATTTGCTGATTGATGAGTTTGGCTATAACCATGATAACAAAAAAATGGAGCAAAAGTGACGGTTTTCTACAGTGTAATGAAAGAGCTCTTAAAAAACGTAAAAATTATTTTCTCATTTATGAGTTTAGCCATAACAATGATAACAGTATAACATAGACAAAATTGACGGCTTTCTGTAGTCCGATGAAAGAGATCTTGATTAACATATAAATTATTTGAGGATTGATGAGTTTGGCTATAACAATGTTAACGAAAAGAATGAGCAAGATTGATGGTTTTGATGCAGGCTCACAAAAAAGCTCTTGATAAACGTAGAAATCTTTTGTTGATGATGAGTTTGGCTATAACCATAATAACAAAAAAGAAAGAGCAACATTGACAGCTTTTGGTAGTCTTATGAAACAGATTTTTGATAAACGTAGAAATTATTTGCCGATGGAAGAGTTTTTCTATAAATATTATAACCGAAAAATGGGTAAAATTGTAGGTTTTCTTCAACTTCATGAAAAAACTATCGATAAACGTAGAAATCATTTGCTAATGATAAATTTGGCTATTACCATGATAACAAAAAAAGAGAGCAAAGTTGACTGTTTTCTGCAGTCTTATGAAAGAGCTCTCGATAAACGTAAAACTCATTCGCTAATTGAAGAGTTTTACAATAACCATTATAACGAAAAATGAACAAAATTGAAGGTTTTATGCAGCCTGATGAAAGACCTCTTGATTAACTTAGAAATTATTTGCTTATTGATGAGTTTGGCTATAGTCATGATAACAAAAAAATAGGAGCAAAATTGACATTTTTCTACTGTCTAATGAAAGAGCTCTTGATAAACGTAGAAATCAATTGTTGATTCATGAGTTTGGTTATAACAATGATAACAGTAAAAGAGAGCAAAATAGACAGTTTTCTACAGCCTGATGAAAGAGGTCATGATAAATGTAGAAATCATATACCAATTGATGAGTTGGCTATAACCTTAATTACAAAAAAAGAGAGCAAAATTGATGGTTTTCTGCAGGCTCGTGAAAAAGCTCTTGATAAACATATAATCATTTGCTGATGATGAGTTTGGCTATAACTAGGATAGAAACAAAAGAGCAAAAATTGATGGTTTTCTACTGTTTAGTGAAAAAGCTCTTGCTAAACATAAAAATTATTTGCTGATTGTTGAGTTATAACAATGATAACGAAAAAAAAGAAAAATAGACAGTTTTTCTACAGCCTAATGAAAGAGCTCTTGATAAATGTAGAAATCATTTGCTGATTAATTTGTTTGGATATAACAATAATAACAAAAAAATGAGCAAAATTGACGGTTTTGGTAGCCTGATGAAGATGTTTCCTGATAAACGTAGAAATCATTTGTTGATTGATGAGTTTGGCTATAACCATGATAATTATAAAAAGAGGAGCAAAATCGACGGTTTTCTGCAACCTAATAAATCGCTCTTGGTAAATGTAAAAATTATTTATTGATTTATTAGTTTGGATATAACAAAACTAAAGAGCAAAAATTGATGGTTTTCTGCATTCTGATGAAAGAGAACTTGATAAACATAGAAAGCATTTGATGATTGATGAGTTTGGGATATAACAATGATAACGAAAAAAAAAGAAGCAAAATTGACGATTTTCTACAGACTCATGAAAAAACTCTTGATAATCGTAAAAATCATTAGATGATGATGAGTTTGGCTATAACCATGATAACAAAAAAAGAAGAACAAAATTGACGTTTTTCTTCAGGCTCATGAAAAATCACATGATAAACCTAGAAATTATTTGCTGATGATGAGTTAGGCTATAACCATGATAACAAATAAAAAAAAAAAGAGGAAATTGACTGTTTTTTGCCGTATGAAGAACGAGCTCTCGATAAACGTAGAAATCATTTGCTTATTGATAATTTTGGGTATATAACCATTATAACAAAAAATGAGCAAAACTGAAAGTTTTCTACAGGCTGATAAAAGAGCTGTTAATTAACATAGAAATCATTTGCTGATTGATGAGTTTGGCTGTCGCCACGATAACAAAAAAAGTTGAGTAAAATTGACGGTTTTCTACTGTTTAGTGAAAAAGCTCTTGATAAACATAAAAATTATTTGCTGATTGTTGAGTTATAACAATGATAACGAAAAAAAAGAAAAATAGACAGTTTTTCTGCAGCCTAATGAAAGAGCTCTTGATAAATTTAGAAATCATTTGCTGATTAATTTGTTTGGATATAACAATAATAACAAAAAAATGAGCAAAATTGACGGTTTTGGTAGCCTGATGAAGGTGTTTCCTGATAAACGTAGAAATCGTTTGTTGATTGATGAGTTTGGCTATAAACATGATAATTAAAAAAAGAGGGACAAAATCGACGGTTTTCTGCAACTTAATAAAGAGCTCTTGGTAAATGTAAAAATTATTTATTAATTTATTAGTTTGGATATAACAAAACTAAAGAGCAAAAATTGACGGTTTTCTGCATTCTGGTGAAAGAGAACTTGATAAACTTAGAAATCATTTGCTTATTGATGAGTTTGGGATATAACAATGATAACGAAAAAAAAAGAAGCAAAATTGACGATTTTCTACAGTCTCATGAAAAAACTCTTGATAAACGTAAAAATCATTAGATGATGATGAGTTTGGCAATAACCATGATAACAAAAAAAAGAAGAACAAAATTGACGTTTTTCTCCAGGCTTATGAAAAATCACATGATAAACCTATAAATTATTTGCTGATGATGAGTTAGGCTATAACCATGATAACAAAAAAAAAAGAGGAAATTGACTGTTTTTTGCCGTATGAAGAACGACCTCTCGATAAACGTAGAAATCATTTGCTTATTGGTAATTTTGGGTATATAACCATTATAACGAAAAAATGAGCAAAGCTAAAAGTTTTCTACGGCTGATAAAAGAGCTGTTAATTAACATAGAAATCATTTGCTGATTGATGAGTTTGGCTATCGCCACGATAACAAAAAAAGTTGAGTAAAATTAACGGTTTTCTACTGTTTAGTGAAAAAGCTCTTGGTAAACATAAAAATTATTTGCTGATTGTTGAGTTATAACAATGATAACGAAAAAAAAGAAAAATAGACAGTTCTTCTGCAGTCTAATGAAAGAGCTCTTGATAAATGTAGAAATCATTTGCTGATTAATTTTTTTAGATATAATAATAATAATAACAAAAAAAAAATGAGCAAAATTGGCGGTTTTTGTAGCCTGATGAAGGTGTTTCCTGATATACGTAGAAATCGTTTTTTGATTGGTGAGTTTGGCTATAACCATGATAATAATAAAAAAGAGCAAAATCGACGGTTTTCTGCAACCTAATAAAGAGCTCTTGATAAATGTAAAAATTATTTACTGATTTATTAGTTTGGCTATAACAAAACAAGAGAGCAAAAATTGACGGTTTTCTACATTCTAATGAAAGAGATCTTGATAAACATAGAAATCATTTGCTGATTGATGAGTTTGGGATATAAAAATGATAACGGAAAAAAAGGAGCAAAATTGACGATTTTCTACAGACCCATGAAAAAACTCTTGATAAACGTAAAAATCATTAGATGATGATGAGTTTGGCTATAACCATGATAACAAATTTTTTTGCAGTCTTATGAAAGACCTCTTCATAAACGTATAAATTATTTACTAATTGATGAGTTTTGCTATAACCATTATAATAGAAAGAAAAAAAAAGCAAAATTGACGGTTTTCTGCAACATGACGAAAGAGTTCTTGATACACATAGAAATAATTTGTTTATTAATGAGTTTAACTCTAACCATGATAACAAAAAAAATGAGCAAAATTGACCGTTTTCTGCAGAGTGATGAAAGAGCTCTTGATAAACGTAGAAATCATTTGTTAATGGATGAGTTGGTTAAAACTATGATGACACAAAAAGAGACAAAACTGACAGTTTTCTATAGCCTAATGAAAGAGCTCTTGGTAAACGTCGAAATCATTTGCCGATTTATGAGTTTGGCTATAACCTTGATAACAAAAAAATGAGCAAAATTGACGGTTTTTTGCAGCCTCATGAAAAAATTGTTAATAAACATAATAATCACTTTCTGATTTACGATTTTGGCTATAACCATAATTAGAAAAAAAGCAAGAGCAAAGTTGATTTTTTTCTGAAGTTTGATGAAAGAGCTCTTGATAAGCGTATAAATCATTTACTGAAGATGAGTTTGGCTATAACAAAGATAACAAAAATGAGTAAAATAGCGATTTTCTGCAGCCTGATGAAAGAGTTTTTGATAAATGTATAAATAATTTGATGATTGATGAGTTTTTGATAATTATGTTGAATATGGATCTCAGTATTACCGACGAGATGCTTTGTTGGTAATTACTATTTTTTTTTTGTCGTCCATAATCGAAACTCTAAAATTTTTGACGGAACGTTAACTGATTCTGATGTTATAAGCCGGGTGTCACGAATCCTGAAAACGAAGAAGTACCTATCGTCACACGCAAAAAGAATGCCATGGAGGAATGATGTTATGATGACGTTCGTTGTTTTCTTATTGTCTTGGAATTTTTTTTGTTTTTTTTTAATGATTATCATCTTATTTTTACCATTTATAACATTCTCTTATCTCTCCAAATTGAAGATTTTCTGCAGCCTAATGAAAGAGCTCTTGATTAACATCTCTCCAAATTGAAGATTTCTGCAGCCTAATGAAAGAGCTCTTGATTAACATAGAAATCATTTGATGATTGATGAGTTTGGAATAGCCATGATAACAAAAAAAGAAGAGTAAAAT